GTAAAATTGGGGTAATATGATCATATTTTCTTGACCTGGTAAGGACTCTAGCCGCTGCATTTTGGACTACCTGTAGCTTGTTTATTGAAGATGCAGGACAACCACCTAGCAGTGTGGTTTACTACATTACTACAAACTAAACCACCAGGGTCCTAGAAATGCGGTCCTGAAACTGCAGCCTCCGGTTGTGCAGGAACACCCTTCTCATAATAGGGGGGAACAGGGGAAATTATTAATATTTTAATTTTTTTTATTTTTTTGTTATTAAACATAGAATACAAGAACTCATAGAGGTAACAGCATAGAATAAAATCAAATACAATAACAATCAGCATCAAACCTTAAGGGGATCCACAATACATGTAAGGCAAAAAAAAAAAACATTTAAAACACAAGAAACTTGGACATGTCCGATGATATTTTCGGGGCACGACAATTTTTAAGTAATCTCAGTGAGGAGTAGAATAGTTTAAATTCGTTCATGAAATGAACAAAGCAGGGGCGAGAGTCTCTCCACTTACAACAATGTATATGATATTTGGCAAGTAGGAAAACAATATTCACAATGTCTGATATTGAATTATCTAAATCATCAACATAAAACAGGATATGGTTGATGTTAAATACAGGGATGTTTGACATTTTTAGATTCAGCCAGTCTCTAACATCACTCCAGAACTGGCATGAAATGGAGCATGTAAAAAATAAGTGTTCTAGAGATTCATCAGTAAAATCACAAAAAGCACAACCCGCCTTGTCAAATTTAAATTGCTTATGAAGAAAATTGGAAACTGGATAGATCTTATGACAAATTTTGAAATGCGTTTCTTTGACTTTAGGCGGAATTGGCCATTTAACATATTTAGAGAAGGCTTTACCCAGCATATCAGAATGGTTTACAGGCACATTGTTTTTATTATAATCATGGAACAATTTAGATTTAAAAGCATCCGTAGCAACCCTATTATTGAAGTTTTTATCAACTAATTTATGATGACCAATTGATAAATTCGGCAATACTGGAGTGACATCAGAATAAGTCAAAGTATTCTGGATTAGGTGGATCAAGGCTACAGGAATAGCTTTACAAATTTTTTGATACTCTCTATGAGTACAGTTTATATTAGATCGTACAACAAAGCTGGTGTGATCCAGTAGAACACCTTTACAATCCATCAAGTCCATTACAAAGAGAATTCCTTTGTCAAACCATTCAGCTTTAAATACTGATTTCCTGTTTATATTCTATTGTCTATTGTTCCACAGAGTCGAACTGTGCGGAGTGAAGTTATGTGTGAATATCATTTTCCAAGTATTTGACATTTGACTATGAAATTTAGACAGTGCAAGTGGAATCTTATTAATATCGAAATCACAGCTCAGTTTTCTGCCACCACTAGGCGCGCGCAGCTGCAAGTGACGTAACTGTGACGTCTACTCCAAATTGGTCTATTGAGAGCGTGACCGTGGAGTGTCACGTGATGCACTACTTAAAACCTCAATTTGTTTCGTCATTATTGTGTATTATCATAATTATATACCACGGTCAACACTTTTTCAAATACAGGCAGGAAACAAACAAAAACTAGCGGCTTTGTATAAAATAAAATATAATAAAACAATTAAATGAAATTAAATTTGATTTAACAGCTACACAAAAAAAAACATTTTTTCCAACCGAGTTATTTTAACAGCCTTATACACACTATTCTGAGGCTTCAGCCAACAAAACATGAGGGATCATTAACCTATTATATATATATATATATATATATAAACTTTTTTTTATTTGCTTGAGCTAAGAAGACTTGTCAGTTTTTGAAATGAAGACTCCTATCACACAAATACTACGGTATCCATCTACACAATCATTTGGTGCGCATTGGTTACAATATATGCGGTTATTGAAGCAGCCAATCACAGCGCCGTGCCCGCATTCCATTCTCTGAAGACACGCCCATGTAGAACTGTCAGCACCTCAGTCCAAAATGGCGCTGTCCTGTAGAGGGTTATGCAGTGGGGCTTCATTGATCTTACTGTACGGAAAACGACCTGTCGGGGTCAAAGCAAGTCTCTGCACACCGAGACTGGCTTCCACAAAATCCAGGTACTATTTATAACAAGTTCAGAATGATCGATCATATGTAGGCGGTGGTTTTCATACCATACAGCTAGGTATTTTTGGATATAGACTCGTTATAAAATTATACTGATGATGTTTCGTAATAAATCATACAAATGGGGCCAAGAGAAATATTTCTCATTGTCTATCCTCCTTTTAGTTGTTAGCCAGAGAAAAAATTGCATTGGGTTCATCAGGAAATACAGTACATGCCCTGTGACATCACACAACATCTTTTATTTATTTGTTTATTTATGTCTGTCTGTCTGTGTAGTAGTGTGTGGTTTGTTAGACACTACTCTCCTTCACAAGCCAGGCATGGGATTGGTCGAAGCGTTGTGTCCGGTCTGAAATGGGCTAATGAGAAATATGAGCGATTCCTGCAACGTCGCTTTCCAAGATTTTACGTCATTTATCACACTTTTATGAGAGGTCAGAGAGTGAATAATAGATATTTAAAATTATTACTGTTTTTTTTTTTTTTATCCTTAAACCATCTCTGGCAAATATGTTATGATATTGGTTTTATGATTTTCTATAAAGGTTTCCGGCTCCTGTTTCAAGATGGTAAAGAAGTGAGAAGAATCGTAGCCCGCATGCTCAGTGAAAGAATAGAGCACCAGAATTTGCCTTACCATGATATGGAGAAAATCAGGCAGGCGAGTCAAAGAACTGAAGCAGACATTTATGAGATATATTGCTGTTATAAGTTGTATTAAATTATCATTTTTGATTTTGTGTGTTGCTTTCAGGTCCGCAGGGACTTAATCAAAGCCATTCCATTGGTCATCTTATCAATACCTCCTTTTGCCAACTATGTGGTCTTCATCCTTATGTGAGTATTTAGCATCTTACTCTGCTGATTATTCAGTGTTTTGTCTTTTTAACAATTAAGTATTTTTGTATCTTTGAAACTGATTGAATATTGAATGTCTCAATTATTATCTGTTACTCTTCCATTAATTAATCCAACGATACTTCCACCTTCAAGGATGTGATTTTTCCATATTTATACACATTTTTGACCTGAGACGTATGAGAACCACAGGAATTGTCAATCTGAGTGAAAAATGGATGCATTTTAAAGTAATAATAATAATAATTTATTTATTTATTAATATTATTATTATTGTAATATAGCAAAGTAATAATGATGATAATAATAATTATTATTGTAGTATAGCTAGGTATTATTAAAAATAATAATTATTATTAATAATACTTAGCTATATTACAATAATATTTTGCCAAAGTTATATATTTAATTGTTAAAATGTAAATAACAATATTTAAATAAAAATAAAAGATTTAAATATTTTTAATAACAATAGTTTATTATTAATACTCTTTATTTTGCAGTATAATAGTATTATTGCAATTTTAACATTTCTTTATTGATTTAAGTTTAATTTATTGTTTAAACTTTTAATAATAGTAAACACTGAATAATTAGAATTGTATCGTTATTAAATATTATTTTTATTTTACAGTACAATAGTATTATTTTCATAGTAATATTTCTTTATTGATTTTAATTTTCACAATTGAAATACTGTTATCATTAATAGTTTATTATATACTCTGCTTTTTATTTGACAGTAATAGTAATATATTTCTTTGAGTAGTTTTTAAATGTAAGTAAAAATATTATGAATAATAATAATAATAGTTTATTATTATTATTAAATGGGATGAGGGGTGTTTTTCCTCTTTCTTGTGCTTAGCTAATCACATGCATCATCCTCTAGGTACCTCTATCCTCGTCGGCTTCTGATCCGGCACTTCTGGACCCCACAGCAGTTGGTGGAGTTTCAGGGGGTGTATCATGCCCAGAGAGCCGAGCACCACTGGGCTATAGTCAAAGGGATGGAGAGCACGTCAACATCGGTCCAAGACAGCCGACTCAAAAGCCGCCTTACAGAGCTCTGCAGTAAGGTAGCCTGAGCTAATTCATCATTTTACATATGTGTAAAATCATAGCCTTTGTTAGTTATTTTATTCAGATTTTGACTTTTTAATAATTATAAATGTGTGTCTGCAGGTCCGAAGTGGAGTCCATCCTGTGGTGTCTGACGTCCATGCAGTGAGAACTTTGTTCTCTGGACCTCCCTTGGGTATCAAGAGAATGTATGCAGATCAGATGGTGAGCTCCAAATAATTGGCTAGTTTAACAATGAACTTCACTTCAAATGTACTTGGTCTTTAGTCTTAGTCTTGTTTAAAATGTATCTGCAGAGACACCTCTGTGCATTGCTCTTTCTGACGCCCCGCCTCCCAGGCTTCTGGATTGGTCGACGCTTGAACAGCCACGCCTTTGAACTCATGCAGCTTGACCGTGCCATTGTTCGATTAGGCTTGCATCAGTTAAACGATGCAGAGCTCAGAGAGGTCAGAGGTCACTCCTTATTTTGCCTGTTACATACTGTTAGCAGCCTTTATTTTGTGATTTTTACTTCACATCTCCTAGGCATGTTACGTGAGAGGGCTGAATCCAGACCGCCTGAGTCCAGGGCAGTGCCGGGAATGGCTCACACAGTGGATTCAGTTCTCAACACACCTCAAAGGTACACAGACAGGCCATAAGTTCAAGGCTATGTTCAGAATAGCGTACTAGCATGCTCCTTTATGGTGCGTTCATGCAAGGTCATAATTATTAGATGAAAACTTGGATGTTCTACTCTGAGCCATTCTCGTCTTTAGAGCAGGAATTATTGTTTGTAATTTTAATTTGTAAGTGACAAAATAACAAAACGGGTAACAGAAGGCTGATTTCTTATCTTTTTTTTTTCTTTTCCCAGAAATCTCCACTTCAATAGAACGTACATACACTAAACTTCACAGTTTTATTGCTATCTATATTCTGAAGTTTTTTACAGAAGGGTTTGTTTATACAGTATATTATTTGTCTGCTTTTATACAACATTTTATTCCTAAAATCATTTCCGGGCTGCTGACAGTATTTTCTGATTTATGGAGTGATAAAAACAGACGTCCAAAATCCCCTCTGTGAAAAACATTTAAATTTAATGTGAAAGAAGAATTTTTAACCTGGCTTTACCAGGGTTCAGATTTCTGTTTTAGAATTGTATGCAAATTAGTGCACATTTAATTAGATAATGCCTTATTTGCATATTTAAACACAACATTTCATTTGCAACATTTCTGTATGCAAATTCGCTGTAGACAATACCAAATGTCTAGTGTACAACTGAGTGCATTGCCCAGGATACTGTATCCCACAATGCAGTGCAGTGTCATGAATGAACCAAAAGTAATTGCTTTTTAAATGAAACTCTATTTCATTTAACTGCCAAAATGTAAGAATTTTTACAATACTAGATGAAAACATGGGATAACAGTGTAGCATATTTATATTAATCATTACAGTCACAATATTTTGAAGTATAGCGTGCACTGCACAGTATTCAGTATTTGAGCATAGATGTGCTCTAAAGTTTTCTTTTAAAATACCCTGAATGTTTCTTAATCGGTCAGTACGGCTTTGTGTTAAATAGCATGAACAAATAGCACAGAAGAAACCACTGTTGTGCTTTTGAAACTGACTTGACAGTTACTGTGTTGCACATTCATTGTGGTATTCCATTTCCTTCCTGTTTGCCCAGAGTCCGAGACCTCCCTCTATCTGCACTGTATGGTACTGCTAACTGTAAACTTCCCTAAACACCAAAGTCACTGACCTCTGGAGGAAGTAAATGACTTCTCTTCAAAACCATTCATTGATCATCCACCACCACACCCAAAGGCAAAACACCGCGGGAACAAACAGACTCATGTATGCAAATCCAAACAGCGCAACACAAGCTTTTTTACCATGAGTCTTTAGGCTTAGTCGCATTTTATGTTATGAAGGGATTTTTTTTTCTCCGGTTTATGCAGGAATTATTCTTTAAAGGGGCTGTCATGCTTTAAATGTTTTTCTTGGAGATCTATCCAATTTTGTTTACTTCAGTAAGGAACAGATAGGAGGGACATGGTCACTGAAAGATGTCATCGGGATTATGGAAATAGACAGGGTGTGTAATTAATGATGTACATTTATACTGGGAGAGGTTCTAACCACATCTGAGACAAAAAGCACACTGAACATCTGCCAAATGCATCCATTTGGAATTACAGCTCATTGGTCTTATAATAAACATTTTCATTCTGAATATTTATTCTACTAACAACAGTTGTTCATGCACAGTCATTTGTGAATTGCATTTTGTACCTTTGTTTAAAACCTGCACTGACAAGTATCACCTATCACATTCATTTTTCTAGTTTCTCTCTCAGATTGTTTAAAATGTTTTATTATAGAAACCCATTTTTTATGTTTTAAATCTGATGTGAAAACTGAAAAGAGGTTTACAGCCTTTAAAAACACTGAAGTGTGATAAAGTGTATTCCTCAATATATTATTAAGCTATGTTCTATAATGCAGCATATACTTATTTTAATTACATTTGTTATTTATTTTTCAGTTCTAAAGACTACATAAATAATATTGCACCTTGTTCCTGTTTTATCCAATAAGATGTTTGCTGTGAGCACTAGGCTGTTTGGTCATAGCATTTATGTTATGCTAAATTAGTCTTGTGAAGTTCTGAAATAACTTGATCTTCTTATTAAGCCTTTTAACAGGTGCCTTTTACTTAAGAACACGGGTACAAATGAGGTGCAGTTCATGCAGTTATCTTTATATGTTGCCAAATGTGTTGCTTTATTTTGTTTTTATATAAAGAGACAATGCTGTTTGGTTCGGTGTTAAAGTACATAGTTAATGCAGTATGAAAAGATTGGAACTTCTATTAAAAGACTTCAAACTTTATTGTCTCTGTTTGCATCCCTCATCAAGGTAGCACTGATTCACCAACACCACAGTAGTAAGCTGAAATAACTAAATATTTAAGTTCATTATATTTAAGACAAGGACAAACTTGTTTAGAACATTTTATTCCTTCCTTTTTGGCACGAATGTTCTATAAATGTATAAAATTTGGCATATCAGTAATGATGTCTTGTAACCCAAAGGAATGTCACTGCAGTAAAGATCAAATTTAAAACAATGTCTAAAGTATAAATCAGTCAATCAGACTTAACACGAGACTAATCTACTGGATTAGTCATAAAAGCATAGACGTCGTAGATATTTCATTCTCAAATGAGTACTGTCAACTTACACAGCAAGGGGGGAAATAATTGGCATTTATATAATAGTTTTAAAAACACCTGAACAGTCTCGAAGAGCTTTAAGTGATATGCTAATATGGGTGAAGTGCTGTAACTAGATGTGATCACATGACCTCATAGCCGCTGCGGATGGCTCGCATCAGAATGCAGGACAACACAATGCCCATGATCTACAAAAAAACAAAACAAATTTATTGGTTAGTTTACGAGGAAGGGGAGTTTGCATTGATGTTTTGATGTGTATGTAACAGGAAAACCAATCTTGCAGGTCTCACCTGCACAAATGCAATGACCAGAGCTGCCACAGCGAACCACAGGATATTTTGCTTTAGAAATTTGTCCAAAATGGGCTGACATCCCTGTGTTAAACAAACACAAAACCAAAATCTAAATGTTTATAGCACATCCCACAAATCCTGTTCAATAAACAATTTCTACTAGTCTTATTTTTTTTCTAAGTTTAAAATTTAAAAGCTACGAGGACACAGACAGTCGAATTTTTTGTAGACTTTCTTTGTAAAAATACCACAGAATAGAAGAGTCAGCAAAACCCTAGTGCACTTAAAAAAAAGGTTTCTTACATCTGTGTAGATTTTGCTGGTTTCTTGGAGAGCTCCTTTACCACAATCCTTGGTGAAGTTTTTACAGCAGGAATCTGGAACTGAACTGGGAGCCAAGAATTTTGAGTTCATCCAATCACTAGAGGAGTTTCTTCCACAGCACTTGAACTAGAAGAAAGACATTACAAATTCATACTTATTTAACTGGTCTTTTTGTAAATATATATATATTTGTGTGTGTGTGTGTGTGTGTAAAATAAAAATAAATCATTCATATTTCAGAGAGCAAGTGCAGCACTGAGTCTAAAGTGAAGTTTAGCCACATAACAGCATAAGACTTATAACAGCATATAACTTCTCTAATTGTTTTTTATTCTATCTATTTGTTTTCTTTTTATTTATTATACAATAAACAAAAGCAAAAAAGGCCTCTAACACTAGCTTGCTCTATTCTTTTTCTATTCTATCGGTTTTCTTTTGATTTATTATATTAAAAAAAAAAACCTTGCTACATGTACTTCATTAAGCTAACTGAGATTTGTTATAGCACTTGCATATCATTGCTCTTTCGTTGATTTTGATTGCTTCCATTGTCCTCATTTGTAAGTTGCTTTGGATAAAAGCATCTGCTAAATGATTAAATGTAAATAAGAGGAAGCAGGATGTCAGTTTAGTGTCAACAGATGGCACTGAGCAAACAAAATGGGAGAAACTCGTAAGACACGATTACATCCATGTGAAAATGGAAATCAAGTAACACGTCCAAAATGTGAGAGGTTTGGGTTTATTAACCTGTTGCTGTATAGTATCAAGGGAGTCGCGGTTTTCCGTTTCGTTGTATCCTGCAATCATGACGTCAAAACCTTTATTCAGCAGATCAGTCAGCTGCAGAGAAAGACAAATTATAATGAGCCAAATGGTACTAGGAAACAGATTAATAAAAATGAAGTGCCAGTGAGAAGAGTGCTCACGTTTCCACGCAAGACATATCCAGCGATGGCAGCTCCGATTTCAATGATGATGATGAGGGAGAGAATAACAGCAAACTAGGAGAGAATAAATAAAGGAGAGGTAAATGATAAAGGTGAATGAATAGCATTTCAAAGATTTGAATGATTTTATTGAGAGCTTGTAGGTGCTGTGCTACTGTATTTGTGTAGGCATACAGTGGCACATTCTGAGGCACCAGTTCATTATAACTGTTTGATTTCCATTTTAGTCAAATATGCACATACACATCTATTCTTCAAATTAAGTGTTGTATAAAAAGGAATCTGGTTTGACCTGTTGGCCATGTGTTGACCATGTCAACACAGACATGCTGCAGCTTTACAGCAGTCGGTATATAAACAAAAGCATCAGAAGCCAGCAAGTTAGTGGAAATACAGCCTAGATGTAGTGTAATAGTGTAAATGTGTACCAGGTTACTTGGGCAATACTTAAAGTCTGCATTAAATCAAAATTTACACAATTTACTTTGTTAGCACACATCACTAGTCTTGAGGTGAACAATTAATCCATGCAAGTTAATCTACTGGAAAAAATAATGTCTGTCTTGGTAATCTTTAATCAAAATCTGAACATTTGCTTCCACTCTGGAATGGCATTCCTTCTCTGATGACGTCAGTTTCACAGCTTGGCCGAGTAAACGCGGACTTTAATATTAGTGTGCTTCACCACTAAACCTAACCCCACATATAAACTTCATATTTCAGTCAGTCAGCAGTATATGTTCACAAGTACACTTGTATACATTTACATGTTAACGTGTCTACTACCCCAGTACATGCCAGATTTTAACATTAATTTATATTTTCTGTCTTTTTTCCCAAATTGTCCGTTAATAGTCATAATTTTACACACATTTCCCAAATCTTTAATGTTAATCTATTTACTTATTTAAATGTATGACATGTAATAAAATACTTAAATAATTACATTAGAAAATAATAAATAACACTAATGCACATCTTGGAAAATCGACATTTTTTAAATTGATCTTTTTGATATTAAAATCGGGCAAAATGTGGAAATATAAATATATGTGCATTATAGCAACTGAAATTTATGACAGCTGACTTCTGCATCGGGTAAAATAAGATCAAAACAAACCTAACAATTAAAAACGAAATGCATGGATTTCAGCACTATTTACAAATTTGAAAGCTGCTTGCTGGATTCTCAATAAAAATGAATGTCATGTCATACATGGTGACTAGGCCTTTGTTTACAATGAGCTTGTAATCTAATACTGAAGCATTAAGAATAAATGGTGCAAACAAATTTTAGCCCCTAGTGCAAACAGCTGAAGCAACCCTAACCATTAAATTACATTTACTTGAATCCCTGAATCTCATTATATGCACTAGAACATGAATATTTTCATCACACATTCTTACCATTGTAATCATGCACTGATTCTCCTTCCAGGCACCACAGCAGCCAAAGAATGCGATGAAGAAGATGATTACTCCCACCACTATGAGCACTAGAGGAGACCCGGAGTATCCTTTGAGGAAGGCCGTGGTGTTGATAGAAACTTTAGCCAATACCCCCACAACTATTAAGGCCAGGCCACACAGCTAGAGATAAGAGAAAGAGAGAGGAAGTGTGAAAAACAGTGACTTTAAGACTCTTCTATAATAATTGAGTTATTCCTCATTCTGTAGTTAAACTGACATTAACCTTCAATTAACTTACATTTTTAAACTTACAACAGTCACTTATTTGGAATCATAAAAATTGAAACAGAACAACGGTGATGAAAAAGAGACCCAAAAAGAGGAACTGGAAACTCAAGACAGAAGCCACATGTCATGTGTTTGCATTCTTAAATGATCTCAAAGAGTCAAATGAAATAAAAGTATTTATTAAATTCTGATCAATTCTGATCTGAGACTATTTTATGATGTAACTATCTTTGGTAACACTTTATTTTAAGGTGCCCTTGTTACACGTTACATTTTATATTATAATAACAATAAATTATGCATAATTGCATGCAAGTAACCCTAAGCCAAACCCTAATCCTAACCCTAACCATATAGTAAGTACATGTAGTTAATTAATATTACTGAGTATTTAAATGCATAATTACACTGTAACAAGGACACCTTAAAATAAAGAGTAACCCTATCTTTTCAATTTAGTAATTAACATCAACTAGGAATTTTTAAGTGTTGTTTTCCACTAAAGATGTAAAGAAAAAAAATGGTACCATAACTTATTTCATTATTCTGTTGTAGGATGTGTGTGTTAGCATTAAAGAG